GAATGCAGCCTGATCAGTTTTTTGGAGCTCAAATTAAATTGTCGGTGTCCTGCAAAGACATGCATGAGATAGGGTTCATGACTGAGCTCCAAACCTGGCCTAGTCTGATGGCTCAACTCGGAAAAACTTTATTAAAGTTGCTGTCTGTCTCAAGAGATACATACTTGCCTTTATGTGGGAAATTGAGGAAATTTTACATAGGTTTTGTGAATATCAACCCCTTTCATAAGATAAACTTCCCTTTTCTCCTTTCTGTATTGGTGGCTAATTCTCTTGTTCCAAATGGGGCACTGGAGAAATACGCAGGATGCAACCATTAATGCAGAAAACATACCTACCCTTATGAATTTGTAGCATAATAGGCTCCTAACTGTAAAATTTGTGTGTCTGTGGTGATTTCTGTTGGAATGCATCTCTTTCAGATTGACCTTTTGACATTTAAAATTACATTTAGCCTGGCCTTGCACAGGCTGCCTTTTTAGTAACTTTAAACTTACAGGTCTTATTTCTTTCTTTTCTAGATAGAGGAGCGAGCAGAATTTTTGAACAAATCCGCTCAGAAGAGGTAAAGCAATAAACCAGTAGGTTCAGTCAAAACAGCAGTGTTTTTAATTGGAGGGAATAATAATAATTTCTTTCTCTCTTTTTTTCGACTTCCTGCAGTGGTATGAAACCCACCCACACAACAGCAGTTGTCTCAAAGATTGACAGCAGACTTGAGCAATACACTAGCGCAATTGAGGTAAGTTAATTCCAGGTCACGACAGCTCTAGTTACTAACGGCTTTTAGGACTTTAATCAGCCTGTGCTTTACTGTTAAGAATTGCAGGGATTTTTGGTCACAAACTTTTTTAATGCAACTTCAAGAACAAAATGCTTGAGGTACACTTATAACCAACATCTAGATATATATCTAAACAAAGCGTCAGATTCTTATCTTCCCTTTCATGCTACAATTTACTCTGTCTGCTTTGTAAGCTTGGAGTAGTGCTTGATGAGACTATTATCTGCAGAGAGCTGATAGTCATCCTGAGCAAAGCTGATTTAGCAGTTTATTTAGGAGAGCAACAAACTGGGTCTGTGTTGCTGGCTGCCAGTTCAGAGTGAAATTCCTTGGCAAAGACAGACACTTTAGTGAACTAGAGAGTTAAGTAGTGACAAAGGAAAAATGGAATCAAAATAAAATGCAGAATTTGACCCCAGGTGATATTGACAAGTAGTGGCTAACAATGTGCCTTGAAGCCAGAATTGTTGGGTTTTTTTCTTTTTCAAGGAAAAATGGGTAGTTTTTTAGCTGTTTTTATAAATAAGTTAGTACAGGCAATGTGAAAACTACTGGTTAATATAGCAGCCCAGCTGGGCTGGGTTGTTAAGTGTAATGGGAATAGAATAGTATAAAAAGGGATATGGTCTTGATAGCTGTGATTGCAATCTAGCATTATTCATTCCCTGATGGATTTTTTTTTTTCTCCTCTTGTTCACATATGGGGAAGCATGGTATTGCATTAAGGTATTAATTGGTTAGGCTTTATTATTCTTTAACTTAAAGGAAAATTTAGTAATTAAAAATAAATTAACAAAGGCTTTTTTCTGTGGCTGTTGTCCATTTAACCTTTCTGCTAGGAAGCCTATCGGTGCTGGAGAGTTTTAGACTGTGTGTCAGTTCCCGATGAAAAAAGCACATGCATGACAGTGCTGAAAGGCTCAGGCTTGCCTCCAGCATCTTTGTCAAGCTGAAGGTAGCTCAATCCCCTCCATTAGAGATGATTGTTAGCACGGCATCCAGTAGTCCCCATATCATCGAAGTAGGAGCATACAGCTTCTGTCCTCTACGGCAAAGGGGCAGGCAACGCAGCTTCACAGCTATGTAGAGCTCCCATCTGACTGGAAACTACTCCTTTGCTGAGTTTCTGATTTTTCCAAAAGTTGCCAAATCTGACTTGCTTTGCAACTAGAGAGGCAAAGCCTCAGCTCATACAGGTTCTTATTGTCCTCAAATCTGTGTTGCGTAAAATGCACGAGAATTTTGAAAAGAAGGAACAGGAGGAGTTTGGTCCAGTGTTCTTGGTAACCGTGCAAAAGACACACTGCCAAAAAACCCTCCAATTCCTCAATCCTTCACTCTAAAAAACCTCCTCATTCCAAATATTCTGTAATTGCTGAAATTTACCCCTAGATTCCCTAGTTGTGAGGTTAAATTGTCTGGGACAGATAGAGCAGAGTCTGATGCTGAATGACGGAGCAGTCTTTCTCCTCTGCCTCTGCATAAGGTTTTCCTTAGCTGTGTTCCTGAGAGAGCTATGCTTACAGGATTCAAGTGCTCAGACTTGAAAGATGGCAAATGAAAGCCTCGGAGCAGTTGTGTGCAGAGCTGTGGTTTGCCATGAGCTTTAGAAATGTAACAAGTGCAAAAATCCAAGTGACTGCAGTTTTCACAGCTGGTCATGTCAAGGGTGCAACTGCAAATGAAAAGGGGCAGAGTCTCAGTGGCATCTCTTGAGCTGGGTACTTCTTTCCGTCTTTGCATGATCATTGCTAGAACCACTTAACAGCTGCTGCATTCCCCAGTACTGCCCCAAAGTCAAAACACCCTGCGGCTCCAGCTCTTAACGCCAAACACCAACTGGCTTCAATTCTTCTGCAGGGCACAAAGTCTGCAAGACCAGCTAAGCCAGCAGCCTCCGACCTTCCTGTTCCAGCTGAGGGTGTCCGTAATATCAAGAGCATGTGGGAGAAGGGCAATGTTTTTTCATCACCTTCTGGGACAGGAACACCAAATAAGGTATGTGTTTAATTTTACATAGTGATACAGAGAGTTATGTTATGGACCTGACCTTGCCATTTATGTTGCTATGAGTAAGCCTGGCTGCTCCTGTTGACATCACTGGTGAAGAATATCCCAAAGGATCCTGAGGTCCTCAGAAACCCACAAAATTGTGTGGCTGCAATATTGAGTACAATGGAAGAATTCAGTGACATACTGAGCTCAGTTATGAGACATTCCAGAGCCCCATCAGATATCTTAGATAAATATATCCGGGTAGTTCAAGCGGAGTACAAAGAAATTCTTTGTGTTGGGAAAGATTCTTTTTGGGGGGGCAGAGGAGGATTAAATAGGCAAGATAATGATGATGTTTTATAAATAATGCATAGAAGCATTTGTGAGACCTTTAACTTTTTTACATAAATCCTTAAGGCAACATTTCCTTTCTATAAATTGATATGAGTTGATGAGCATTCATCGTAGCCAAAAAGCTGAGCCATGGATTGAAGGGGGTTATTAGATAGACATGAAATTTCAGTAATTTGTTCTAAAGTTTTAAATATTTATTTTAATGATTTAAATTTTAGGCCACTTAACTCCTCTATTATGTGGTTTTTTTGGAAAAAAAAAAAAACAAAACAAAACCCAAAACCAACCAACCAAACAAAAAAACAATACATAACAAAAATGTGGACTTAGACTTGTGTCTCTTGTTCTTTTAGGCTAAAGATTTTTTCTCCTTGGAGTTTGCGGTTATGACAGAAACACCAGGTGTATGTCTAATGTTTATTCCTAGGTTAGCACACTAAAATGGAAATGATTTTGTGAACCCACATTTATCATTATTGAAAACTAGAGAGTAGTAGTACTGTGTAGTTCATAGGGAGAATATCTTCAGAGCACACAGGATGACTCTTAGCTAGCCATAGTCTCGGTGAGGACCTCTATATTAAATTCAGGCTTGGCTTTGTTTTTAAATCTAAGCTGTGGAAAACATAGCAAAAACTGTTCTGAAAATCTTCTGATTAGATTTTACTATTTTGCAGGAAACTGCTGGACTGAAGGTTGGAGTCTCCAGTCGTATCAACGAGTGGTTAACCAAGACCCCAGAGACCAATAAATCACCTGCTCCAAAACCTTCTGTAAGTAAACCTGCAACAACCATCTCTTCAGTATGTGGATTCTGATGGTGCTTCCTTAACCAGCTGATGGTCTTTGGAGGAACCTTACTGCATGTCTTCTCTTGGAGGCTCACTGACGCCCTCTGGCTGCTGACTTCTGGGTAGTCTGAAAAGGGGGTGGGGTGGGTGAAATAGGGCAGTTCTCACCTTAAAGCTTAGGGGTGCTCTAAAAAGACAGTGCTCAGGAAGCACTTCTGTGGTAGAGAAGGACATTAATGTACCCACCTATGAAAGGTCTGCCATTAATTTAGAAATAACCAGCCATAGACCTTGGATGAAACACTCTTTGGCCCTTGCCTTGTAAAAATCTTTCGAGTATATTTTTAAACACAACTGCAATACTTTAATCCTTTAAGAGCCTAAAAGTAATTTCTAATGAAGGCCTTTTAGCATGCCTATTACTTCAGCAAGAATCAGAGCAGAAAATGCTATCAAAGTAATAAGCTGGGAGTGTGGGAAGCAGCCGTGTGGATGTGGAAAGGAGCAGAAACAGGTACTTGTGGGGTGAGGAAGGGTAGGGGTGAGGAACTGGAGCTGTAAGTGTCCATATTGGAGAATGGCAGGGCATCACTCATGGTGTTAATGATCCTGCTTTGGGATTTTATTAAAGAACTGGTTTCTTCCCATGTCCTTGTGTAGCGTTTTTCTGCCAGTCCACTCGCCCTTTATAAAAGGTGCAGCCTGACAAACACTTTCTCAGTTCACACTCCTGTTTGTCCCAAAGAGGAACTTGACATTTGCAGCATTGTCCCTAATGTCAGTATTTACTGGTAGCTACACAGAGATTGTGTCCTTATAAACATGAATATAAAAGCAAAAGAAGTCATTGTGGTCACTGTATTTAATCACAACTGCTGAAAACCAGCACAGAATCTGCCTCCAGATTTTCCTCTTTCTTTTAAGTTGAGTCTTTTAGATAACGTAAAACTAACCTCCTGTTTTCCCCTCAGCCAACTGTTTCTATCTATGTCTTCATTTCCCTCTTTCTCAATAGATTGTTCTTTCTTCTTTCAATATCTCTACTTGAAGGAACCTGCCCTCCACCTATTATTCTTCTCTGGGGGTCTGTTTGCTAAGGTGGTCAGGTAAACCTGTTCATAATTGACTATGAAGAATGATATGCATCTGTAATGTGTGATTTTTACTTTTTTCACAAGGATAAATCAAAGCAAAACCTAAAATTTCTCAGTTAGTTAGCAAATAACTTCCTACTCTCATCACATTCCACCAAAATAAAGAATTGTTCAAAGCTTTTGTGACCATCAAGATTCTTGTGGGTTTTGGAACAATGTTCAATTAAAAGTACAGGGAATGAAGGTGTCGGTTTTATGGTGAACTTAAATCACAGATCCCAAATGATTTCAGGATTATGGAAGTAGTTTTGTCCACTGGAAGTAGTTTTGTGATAAGATCCACTGCAATTTTGCTGTTTTCTTCCTTCCTCTGTTAGTGCTGAACTTGCTTTTTGAAGTACAGAATAGGCTTAAAGTCTTAACCATAGCAACCCTCTTTGGCTGTAAATTATGATCAATTGTAGTGCATCTCTGTTGGGTGCAAATACCTCTGGGAGGAATCACGTTTCACATTTATCAGAGGGCCTTTTTCTATCTCAAGTTAGAAATTCTCATGTGCAGAAAACTACCTTTCTATGGATGGCAAGAACAAGATTCTGGAAGCTGTGCAGGACTTGAATACTTTTTGAAAAGGAGAATACTAATGTCCAAAATTGTTTCAACCACGGAGGTAGATACCAATCCATCTGTCCTTAAGCAAGTGCATTGCTACTAGCCTAGCATATTTTGTCTGGATTTGTAGCCCTGCTTTTCCCCATGAAGCAACTTGACATTTTTACTTGCTTTTGCAAGTAAAAGTTTTGCTTAAAGTGTCCATAGACACTTATTTTCAGAGAATATTATTATTTCTAATGATGTTACCTCATCTGGTTTTGTGGGGGGTTTTTTTGGTTTTGAAACCTATATTAAAGAATGTAGAGGAGAATCTGCTTTTCTGTTGAAAGTAGTTGTTGTACTCTGGTTTTTTACAGGGTTTTTTAATGAAATATTTTGATTCTGATCTAAAATAACTGAGAGAAGCTACTTTTGAATTCCTCCCTAATAGAAATAATATTCTGACCAAAAAAAAAAAATCATTTTTCTGCAAAAATTGGAATTGTCTTTCTTAAAACCCTGATAATGCAGTAATTTTTCACTGTACTGCCTAGGATGAATGTAATAAGATATGGCCAGTCTGTGCAATACTAAATAGATGCAGCAGCATTGGTTTTTGTCATAAAGCATGTATGTGTGGAGTGATTATGTGAAGTGTCATTTTGAATAGCTTTATAATTGATAGACAATGTAATATTTACTACTGGTGGATGCTCCTCAACTTTTTTTTTGAGGAAGTTGCATTCTAACTTTTTCTCTACCAAATTAAAATAAACCTGAACTAATGTTGGTTTCTGTTCTCTTACATTAATTTAAAAATACAGGATTTAAAACCAGGAGATGTATCTGGAAAACGTAATCTCTGGGAGAAGCAGTCAGTTGAAAAGCCATCTCCTTCTAAGGTAACACTTCAGTGCATTATTAAAAGGGTAATATCTCTATGGGAGGCTTTCTAGGGGGAAGGTGCTGTTCGCCTTCATACTGTCAGTTAGTTGGAGTTAGGCCTCTACATGTCTTTTGTTACTAACCTGCCTTTTTATCTATAAAAGAAAGTACAATGAGGCACAGAAAGCCATGGGCAGCATGTAACTTCTATAGTCCTATGTTGCAGAGCTGTTTTGTGCGTGGAAATCTGTCCTTTGCATGGACTTGATTTGTTTTCCTGTTATAAATAGCTATGTTTTCCCATATTCAACTTTAATTTTGGATTATTACTTCTTCAAACAGGTATCAGCTATGGGGAAAAAATCAGAGACTAATGGTAAGTAATTCTAATAATACACCTGCATATAAAATAGAAACTTTGCCACACTTTCCTACAGGCACATCTAAGTTTTAAAATTCTACAGCTGTCCGTGTTGATGCAAAAACCAACCCCTTTTTGCCTTTACCTTTCCAAAACTCCATTGCAGTATCATCAAAACATGAATGTTTGAGAAATAAGCCTAAATCATCTTTCTAGGAGGACAGAGGACTAGCAGCGCTCCAGCCATGTTTGCAAAGCCTTGTTTGAGCGACATGTGTAGCATGTTTGCTGTAGCTGGAGAGCATCATTAAACTGTGTGAGGTCTGAGGAATGGGATGTCATTTAACTAATTACAGCAAATGTAAGGCATCTGGGAAAGGCTCTGTTAAAGGCTGCA